TGCATGAAGTTCCCAACTCCTATGGGAATAGCAACACTGCGAGGAAACCAAGAGGTGGCCAGACATTGTTATATCACCTCAGTAACACAACCAACGAAAGGCAAAGATCAGACACCCGAGGCCATTCCCCAGCGAATTCCTGATAATCAGCAAGTTATGGGTGTAGAGATCGTCGATAATCGACCGGACGATGAAGCCAGAGCTGCTCCAGTCGAAGATGTTGAAGAAGTGCTCGTTGATGATAGAGATCCGAGCCGAAAGACACAGATTGGAACTAGATTGAACCCAGAGGAAAAGGCAGAGTTAATAGCTTTTCTCCGAGCCAATAATGATGTATTCGCATGGACCTCGACAGATATGCCAGGAATTCCAAATTCAGTATGTCAACATAAGCTCAGTACCAACCCATTGAAGAAACCAGTGGCCCAGAAGCGGCGTCTCTTCGGGGGTGAGAGGCTTCAGGCTATTAAAGAAGAGGTGGAGAAGCTCCTACAAGCTGATTTTGTCAGGAAAGTTGATTACTGTGAATGGGTGGCTAACCCAGTCCTGGTGAAGAAGGCAAATGGTAAATGGCGAATGTGCATTGATTATACAAATCTTAACCACGCCTGCCCCAAGGATTGCTATCCGATGCTAAGCATTGACAATTAGTTGAAGCAGCTTTAGGCAATGAGAGGTTAAGCCTCTTGGATGCATATTCTGGTTATCACCAGGTGTCAATGGCTCCCGAAGATGAAGAGAAAACCTCGTTCTATGCTGGCGATGAAATTTATTGCTATGTCATGATGCCGTTTGGCTTAAAGAACGCTGGTGCTACTTATCAGAAAATGGTGACCATCGTCTTCTGAGCTCAAATCAGCAAGAATCTGGAGGTGTATGTTGATGACATCGTAGTAAAGAGCCGGAAAGCAGAAGACCATCTAGCCGATCTCGATGAAACCTTCAACAACCTCAGAAAGAACAGGATGCGGTTGAATCCAGCCAAATGTATTTTCGGCGTGGAGTCTGGAAAGTTTCTGGGTTTCTTGGTGTCCCGAAGAGGGATTGAGGTCAATCCCGAAAAAATTAGAGCAATTACTGAGATGGAACCACCGAAATCAGTAAAAGATATACAGAGGTTGACTGGAAGAGTGGCAACCCTTCATCGATTCATATTGAAGTCAGCAGATAAGTGCCTACCATTCTTCAAGATCATGAGGTTGGCTGCCCAGAAGGATGAATCAGGAAAACAGAAAAAATTTGAATGGAGTCAGGAGTGCCAGGCTGCATTCGACGAGTTGAAGTCTTATCTTAGCTCACCACCTCTACTGACTAAGGCTGTCGATGGAGAGATTCTTTACTTGTACCTGGGGATTTCAAAAGAGGCCATTAGTTCAATTCTGTTGAGAGAGGAAGCCAAGCAACAGAAACCAGTCTATTATATCAGCAGTGTATTACACAGAGCAGAGCTGAGATATCCTACAGCGGAGAAAGCAGCACTAGCAGTTGTCACTTCGGCAAGGAAATTGAGGCCATATTTCCAGTCATACCCAATTATCGTTCTCACAGATCAACCTCTCCGATAGATTCTGCAGAAACCAGAATGTTCTGGAAGATTAATTAAGTGGGCAGTAGAACTGGGGGAGTTTGAGATAACGTTTCAGCAGAGATCCGCAATCCGAGCTCAAGCACCAGCAGATTTCATTGTCGAATGCACCCCATGTCCTTCAACCTCTACTCCAGAGCCCAACGACTGGACCTTATATGTTGACGGAGCATCTAGTAGCAAGGGTTCAGGGGCTGGTGCTCTCTTGATTGGTCCAGAAGGATACCGAAGCGAACATGCCTTGAAGTTCAACTTTGATGCGAAAAATAATATGGCTGAGTATGAAGCTCTGCTACTTGGTCTACAGCTAGCATTAGAGTTGAAAATCAGTGCAATTCAAGTATACAGTGACTCCCAGTTGGTGGTAAACCAAATTAACTCAATTTGTGAAGTTGTTGATCCCGTAATGGTGAAATATGTAGCCTTGGTAGCCGAGCTGAAGTGCAGATTCCAGAAATTCTGTCTGAGTAAAATCCCCCGAGTTGAGATTGAACAGGCAGATTCACTCTCCAAGTTCGCCTCTGACAACTCTTTAAGTTCCAGATCCGTTTTTGTAGAGATCTTAGATGAACCAAGCTTCATGAAGCCTCGGGTGATGGAGATTAGCACAAACCCAGACATGCCGAGCTGGACTGATTTAATCGTCTCCTTTTTGCGAGATGGGATAGTACTTGAAGACAGGCAGGAGGCAATGAAGTTGAGAAAGAAAGCATCGGAGTGTCTACCCTCGTTGATGGGGTCCTGTATAAGAGATCTTTCTCACTTCCTCTTCTACGGTGTTTAAACCCCTATAAAGCTGAATATGCACTTCGAGAGGTGCATGAAGGTGTCTGTGGGAGCCATGTCGGTTGTCACGCCCCAAAACCCAATTTCAAGGCGCAACAGACGCCGTGCACTCGTAAACGGGTCTCACGAATGCACAAGGCTCGGAACTTACTGAGTTC